CGTGCCCCCCCTCCCCCGGCCTGGAACACAAGAGGCACATGGGAGCACAATTTAGAAACCCCATCCCTGACTCTTGTCCCAGTGCCTCTGCATGTCATCGCCGCTTAATGAGGGCGCCCAGGGTTGGCCAGGCCCTGGGCTACTAGCCCCACAGTCGGTATCACGTAGTACCACTCAGCCCTGCGAGCCAGGGGCTGCCCACTGCACAGAGCGGACTGACTCTTGCAGAGGGCACCCACTAGGTGGGTTCTAGCAGCTAGACAGTGGCAGAGACCTGGCTCCAGAGCTGGGGTATGCCTCCTGACATCCTACTGGGAGCCAGGCAGCCCCACGGAGGTCCCCACCAGGGCATTTAAAGGGCAGGGGCCTGTCTGGGCTGGCAGCCCGGCCCTCTGGGCAGAGAGTCACGAGTCCATGGGCGCGCATGGCACTGCCCTCACTCACCCCGGCCTGGGGTCGGATCCAGGGCAGTGTCTGGGGCTGGTCGTCTTCGCCCAGGACCACGAAGGTCATGAAGGCGCTGTTGATGTGCTGCCTCTGGGTCTCGTTCCCCTGGCGGTAGGCCTCCACGCACACACCCACCTCCATGCTGCGGGGACACAGGGGGTGGGGGTGGGGTGCTGCTTCCAGGCTCCTCAGACACCCCTGCACCACCCCCCTGCAGTGCTTCCAGCGGCTCAGAGCAGAGCCCCACCGAAAGGGGCACAGAACACGCACTGTGTGTACCACCGCCACCACGGAGCCCACTCCAGCTCCTTCGGAACGCACAGGCATCAGAGAGGAACTGTGCTCCACATGGCCGAAGCGGCTGCCTTTTCTGAAGGAGCTTGCCAGGCCTCTCTTCCGGGTGCCGCTGGGTGGATGGGAGCCGCCCACGTGCCCGTTTACACACACACACACACACACACACACACACACACACACACACACGGGCTCTACAAACCTGTGCGTCGTCCGTGTGCTTGCTGGCTAACAGTGGACGGAGAGGAGAGTTCATTGGCCAAGAGGTTCATCACGCACTACTCAGAGCACCAGCCCTACCAGCGGGGCTCCTCACAGCAAGTCTCGCTGTCTTTATTAAGACTTGCTTCTCTCTGAAGAAGTGCTGCCATGCCAGGAGGCAGGTGTTTGACACGTGGGGAGACCACGGCCCAGAATGGGCAGGCCCTGGACCCTGGCCGCATAGCCCACCAGGAAGAGCGGCTGGACTGCAGGGCTCTGAGGTCAGGGTTTGTCCCCGGCATAGTGGCCAAGTGTTTGCTGGCAGATGGAAGGCAT